GTTTATCTGACCAACATTTGACCGTTCGGAGATTTGGCAAGGTTGCCCACAGAACTTGTGCGTAAAAAGATTAAGATCAAACTTAGCCAACGTCCCGTAAACCCCATATGTTGAGGTCTTTCCACGTATTCGCATTCTAGATGTGTCGCGACCATTTGAATGGAGCTAATTGTGTGGGAGAACGTATTTTCCCCCATTCCCGATGATTTTATTCCGTTAGTTCGCATTTTAAAGCTAAAATGTCTAGAGGCAGAGGCACACTGAGGAGTGCAAAAATGGTTAATGGTTGGTTTACTCTGATGATTAAAATAGAATGACGGTATTTTTGGCAAAAAACAAAAATTCAAAAATTTACGAAACTGTTGAGGTTTACCACGGGACGCAGGGGATGCGCCGTCATTCAAGACTAGTACTCCTGAACTGTCAGAACGATGCCTGACAGCTGTGCGAACTAATCGACATTCTTCTCTGCCCGGCTTTCAAATCAAGCCTAGTTGTAATTTTTTCTATGGTGGAGGACAGTGACGTAGCTCGAATAGGCTTCTTTAAAGTATGATAACCCTCCTAGCATCACATTCTTTGTTGTTTTAACTACAACTAGCAACTTGTCAAGAAACGAACAGTGGCCAGATGCGTGTTCCCATTGCAGACCAAAATCGAAGGATGATTTTCCCTAATATTGCCAGCGCAACGAACTGTCGCACATTATCCGCTATTTAGTGTACTACTTAATAAGCTGATTTTGTCTTTAGCGGCTTAAGTCAAAAATTGTCGTGATTATTCAAAATTATGAAGCCTGCATCAAGCTGGGCTCGCTTCTTGGCTGAAGCCTTCCAGTTCTCTGAAGGAAGCGCGTTTTGGATAGTTCCCACTGTGACTTTATAAGCATATTTAAGTGTTGCAGGAATTTTAAGCCACGTCTGACTTGTCGCATTAAATACCGTCAACTGGAACACAAAAACTACGTTGTCTGCAAGTTATAGCTAAGAATTGGGGTTTACCCAAAAACGGTACCTGCAGTTTTGACCTCTAAACGACCGCACTTGTTTTTTCTAAAAAGTAGTAGATAAACTATAAATGCCTTTTTTTCTGTAGCGGACTTGAGGGTAGGACGAAGTTATACGGGCTCACAAATTTGACATGGGAGTAGGAACGCCCCCTTCTGCACACAATTCCGTGAAGGGTAAATATCCCCGTTTCCGGACACTAGCACTAACCCTAGCACAAGCCTAAACGGTAGTTTTAATCCTAACACTAACCCTGCTCTAAATCCTAGTTCCCCAGTCAATAATAATAGTAACAATAATCCTAAATTTAAACCTGACCCTAAATCTAATTTGGCGCAAAACACTTGTATAACATGTTGCAGCTCTTTCATGACGTCCCGTTTAAGGTGCAAAATGAGTAATCCTCATCAACTTGTCTTAGCATAGTTAATTCCCTTCTGCACTGTTTGTCTCAATAAAAATTGTAATGGTACAATGAACATGATGACATTAAATAACATTAAATAACAATGACCTACCTGCCCATTTCGACTGCTATCTGCATCGGTTGCACGAAGATCAAGGAGAACACTGCCGCGAGGGAGAGACTCATTGATTATGACAAAGTTATGTATCCTCTCGAAAATAGGCGGATTGTCATTCTCATCCAGCACGTCGATATGAATGGCCAGCTGACTAGAGAGCACTTTGGGGCGCCCATGGTCCTCCGCGTGCAGAACAAAATCGTACGCTTTCACCTGCTCATAGTCCAATGCGCTGATGAGTCGCAGCTGCAGCGGCTGACCGCCCTCGTAGGGACCCTCCAGTCGAAAGGGAAAGGTGGCATTCCAGTGGTTTGGTGCATGCGTTGGTGCAAGTAGGCTGTATCCGGCAGCGACGCGGTGCGGTGGCTGCGGC